CAGAGAAAGAGGAGAAAGAACGGAATGAGGATTCCATTCCATTCCAAGAAACGGATGGAAAGACAGGGTTCTTTCCAGCTTCTTCAAGTATATATCAATTGTATGAAATAAAGATGTCTGCTTTAATGAGAAAGAATGGAATTCTTGAAGGAAAGTTAGCAGCTGCTGAAAAGAATCTTTCTTCAGTTATTAAAAGCAAACAAGAAGCTGAAAAGAGGTTGGTGGACACATTGAAGGACATGGAATTGATGAAAGAGAAGTTAGTTTTAGTGGAAATGGCACAAGAAGAGGCAAACAGCTTATCAAATATTGTTCATTCAGATCATGTAAGGCTTGAACATGATGTGGCTTTTTTAAAAGCAGTTTTGGATGATACACAGAAGGTAATAATTAATAAATATATGTTCATGTTTCATGGGTTTATTGGATTTTGTCTTGATATTCAAGTATGATGTTTTTTCATGTAGGAATTACATTCGACTAGAGGAGTCCTCTCTGGAGAAAGAGCAAGAGCATTTCAGCTACAGGTATGTTTCTTAGGGTTCATGTTTTTTTAGTCTGATCATAATTCATATGAGGTGTGATGAAATTTTTTGGATATTAATTAATAATATGCAGGTTGAAGTATTCCATTTGAAGCAAAGATTGCAATCAATGGAGAATAGAACACCAACGCCTAGAAAACCATTCCATGGATGAATTTATTATTACTTCTCAAATGGTTTTGTAAGATATGATGAGATCCATTATCTGTATATTATTTCCACTTCTCCAAACATAAAATCAAACGTTTCTCTTTTGATTTTCTGTTCATATTTTGTTTCATGGCAAAACCAGAAATGTGATTGTAGTTAAATTAAACTGTACAACCTCTTTTCTTTAATCATTTTCCGTTAAATGGTTATAAATTACGTTGTATAAACTGATAAAACAACCAATTAAACCCTGGGACAAGGGGGTTATAGATGTCATTTCACAAGAGAACACAGAGTGAAAACATTGCCTTATTACACACCACACACAACGATGATGCCATCAAATTTTGCTGAATCTGGACATCATCAATCTGCATTATCATGTCGATCTATTATGGTTTAGTAATTTATAAAATATAAACAATTGGGAATTGTGTACACATGAATTTACCATTTTAAGCTCTCTTCAGTGTTGGAATCCAAGATAAGGTCTTCAAGTTCAGCAATTATAGCATCATAGCAGAACACGTATTGATCCTGTGAAACATAAAATACGAGAACTTAATATTATGCTCAAAACAAACACAATAAATGGAATGTATAAAAGTATTTACAGATTAAAATGAGACGTACAAATGTTTGAACCATTCGCATCCTTTGTGACCTAAAAGTGGCTATGGTATTAACAAGATCCAAAGCAGACATGTCACCAGTTAAAATTCTTTGAAGGGTGTTATGAATTGCACAATATGTCCCAGTTCTACCAATTCCTGCACTGTATAAGAAAGATGGTAAATTACACCAATCGTCTCTCGTGCATATGCCAGAAAGCGTGTTTAGTCTCTATTTTCAAAATTTAACTCGTACCGTTCCTCGTTTGTTTAAAATTTGCATACTTCCTCCCTCTAGACATAAACGGACAAGTTTGCCCTTAATAATTTCTTTTTTAATTTTCTTTTATCTGTTAATCATTTTTAGACTTAAAAAAAAAGAAAAAAATATATCTACCAAACCCTCCCCCTTTCCCTTTCCCCAGTTTCTTTCGTCTTCCTCGTTCTTACCATTACCGACAAGCACCCAAAACCTAACTCTCCGGCGAGACCACATAATTTCTTTCTCCTTTGTCCGACGATGGCAGCAGATAAGTCCTCGTATTCTGCCCCTACTTTCAAGCTCATATCTCGTTCCCTCATCGTCTGTAAATATGTTGTAAATCAAGGTTGATAAAGTGGTGGAAGAAGTGGCAAGAAAATACGCTGGCAAGGCTTTGTGTTACAGCCCATGTTCTTCTTCTCCCTCCAATCGGTCACCAAATGTGTCTCCTCCTTCCTAACGCTTCAATTGACGTGTTCATGGTAATCTTTACAAACAAAACTTTGAAATGGATTTGGAGAAGGCTAAAAATGAGCTCGTGCTTCATCTCCAGCCTGATGAAGCAATTTATCTCATGATCAATAATAAGATCCTTGGTCTTGGAATCAGATTTGATCGGAGTGATCTTAATTTGCTCTACAGGCCAGGTAAAAGATTGATTTGGTTTTGTTAAAGCTAATAGATTTAATGAGAATTTGGGATTAGGGTTTACGATTGACGAGAATTTTGGGTTTTTTTTGGTGAAGTTATAGAGAGGTAAATCCAGGTGTAGGAGACATAAGCAAAGAAACGGGGTGAAGATTTTCGACGGTTTTCCATTTTCCGGTGGTGCTGCTCCATTTTCTGGTGGTGCTACTCCATTTTCCGGTGGTGGTGCAAGGTGGTGGTTCGGTGGCCAGATTTTTACTTTCAGGGAGTTGATTCGTGTGAGGCAGATGAAGATTTGGGAAGGGACAAATGGGGTGGGTTGGATAGGCATGATATGTTTACATTTAAAAATAATAATAATAACATTAAATTAAATGGAAAAGAAATACAAAAAGGGCATTATGGTCATTTTAGATATGGCAGGGACTACGTTCGCAACAAAAATGCATATCAGGGACGAAGTGTGCAAGCTTTAAGCAAACAAGGGACGGTCCGAGTTAATTTTTGAAAATAGGGACTAAACACGCTTTCTGACATATGCACGATGGACGATTGGTGTAATTTACCCAAGAAAGATATAAAAAATTATCAGATAAAAAATTATCAGATAAACAACTAATCAATCAAATTCAAAACATCTTTATAAAAATGAGATCAATTAAAACCTGCAATGCACCAAAATTGGGCCTTTGGATGATGGCAGATGTCGTAACCTTGTAAAAATATCTCGAACAGCTGACGTGTCATTTGGAACTCCATGATCAGCCATTCAGGATATTGAATATGAAAAACAGGAAGTGGGCCACCCTGTCACATATGTCAGAGTTTAGAAAAGTATTTTTTTAGACCATTTTTGTTTATAAGGATGAGAAGGGCATTTATGTCTTTTTCACAGACAAGAGATCAATAATGAGTTCTTGTCCCACCTTTTTTGATGTGACAGGTAACCGGTAACAGATAACAGGTATTAGTGGCTTACCTCTTCATGATTCACCACCATATCATGCAACACAAGTGAAGTGTTTGTTGTGGTTGTTGTTCTAGTAAGAGTGCGTATATTATTGTCAAATAATCTCAAACCATTCTCTGACTGAAAATAGTCACCACATTTCTCATTCTGAATAGGACATTGAGACCAGATCATATATATATATATATATATATATATATATATATATATATATATATATATATAAAATAAAAGCAATAATGTAGATTTATGTAATTATGGTGGAGATGGGATAAGATTTTGAATACCTTGTCAGCATCAACAAGGCGAGTGAGCATGACAATAGCTGGACAGTGATTTTTGAGTACCATTTCCCAAAAATCTTCAAAGGTTTCAGGAAGAGGGCCTTGAGTGGCTATGAATCTTGATACACTTTCAGATGGATTGACCTCTGCTGTGATAAGACTAGCATTGATGTATCCCATTGGTGATGATGATGACATGTCATCAAGAACAATCCTGTGTGAATCATCTGAGACAAAAGACATTGTTATTTCTCTACATAATGATCTTATTATCCTAGCTGATGTGAAAAGACAAAAAAAGGGGTTTGACAGTTTGACTAGCATTAGCATACATGGTACAACATCAGGGTAGCGGTTTTTGTGACTATGTATATTAGCCACAGAGCAAATACTATCGACTTCTGACTCTGTCAATACATGGCCCTGTACAATTCAAACCACTTTTTGTAAAAACTTTCTTGTAAAATTATACCTATCGTAAATGAATTAAATACCAAAAACCTTCAAATTGGTGAATTCTTTTTTGATAATTGATAACTGATGAGTCCGTTTCTCCTTGAAAAACTTGAGAGCTTGAACACAATGATGGAGTTCATCAGGTTTAAGAGGCGGATTTGGTGGAAATCCACTGGACATATCGAGGGAATAAGGAGCTGCTGATGTGGCAGTCATGGCTGATTTACAGTTGAGAATGCAAGAGGAAGTTATGCTGCTTTAAAGGGGTAGCTGAGTGGTCATCCTAGTACATTTTTTTAAACAAAAAGTAAGTATATTTCTGTCAAATGTCATGGATTCGTTAGTCTTTTTGTAGGTTGGAAAGAATAATGATAAATATATAATGCAAATGGTATTACATTAAAGCATCCCACTTTTTTAATTATAATTAAGTTTGCCTTTTAAAAGTAAGAAGAACCAATTGGCAATTGTTAAGTCTTTTAAAAGAATAAATGACAGATATATAAAACAAGTGCTATGTATATATAAATTTGTTTTTGTTACTTTTAAAAGGCCACCTCAGTTATAATTAATAATGTGAGAAGCTGAATTCATGATGCATACTTATGTTATGTTCTTCAATTTGCTTATCGTGTAGTTCAATTGTAGAGCACTTTTCTGTTTTTGCATAAAACTTGTTTGTCCATTCCTTTATAAATGACAGTATGACACGGATACAACGTTGATCATATGATGAAATCAGGTAAGGAATGGAATAAGAAATAACTGTTTGGTTTGTCAAATGATCTAAAGGTAATCAACTATAAGGTTTGTCCCATTAAGGTAAGAATGTTTTTTTCGTATACATTTGCCAATTGAACTTGTTTGACCTGTTCAAATTTAGATAATATGACCGGCTATCTTAAGTTTAAGCTGATTTGGCACACATTATGTGGCATTAAGTGATATTACGTGACATTATACATACATTATGTGGTACATAACTTGATTTAGGGCTGATAAACAACTAATCCCTCCAATTCCTTCATTTGTTCCCCGTTCCATCGTTCTCCCAGATAGTACAGTCGAAGACCTTCAATCAATCTTCCCCTCCGTTTCTTTCTTCAACTCCATGGGTCGCAATTTCATTGATTCCGATACACTTTCTAGGATCAACTGGGAGCATTGAACCAGAATTTGTAGAATCAACATTGTGTGCAACATTTTATTTTACAAACATTTTTACTAAGCACAAATGAGTACATAGTAGCAACTTATATTAGGGTGCAGTCATGTTTTAAGGTGGATTTGGATCTCCTATCTACCAATTTATGTAAAATATACATAAAATGGGAAAAAGAAATTGTATGTTTATAATACTAATTGATTAAAAGAATATGTTACTTTTATTTTTAAGCATTTTTTGATTGTAGATAATTACTTTATTTAACCTAATTTTCAATAATACCAAATGGCTTTTCCCATGTAAAAGGGTTGAGCTACTGGAGGAAAAGTTAAACATGTCATTTTACAGAGAACAAATAAAGCAGAATCACAATCAGATTGCACATGGTGATGTACAAAATCCCAAAATTCAAGAATCATTAGGGATTTATTATCAGAAATCACCAAGCACAATCTCACATCAGATTGATTGCCACTATCACTAATCACACACCTAAACCAACCAATTAAAACATGAGGCAGGAGGGTTAAACATGTCATTTCATAATTGCCTTACACCTCAACAATCATACCCATAAATCTTGCAATAAACTCCCCGAATTTGACTCATGATCAAAATCTGCATTAAAATGTGAATTATTATGGTTTAGTATTTTTGTACAATGTAAATACAATGGTGGGTGTTTTTGTAAGCTGTATACAGATGAATTTACCATTTTGACCTTGATTGAATGTTGGAATCCGAGATAAGGTCTTCAAGTTCATCAACAATAGCTTCATAGCAGAAGAAGTATTGATCCTGAACCATAAACAGCAATTTACTTTCATTTATTTATTATATTTATAGCATTCTACTTTCATTTCCCTCTAAGAGTCGGTGTTTGGTATGATGGAATGGAATCATAAAGGGGTAATGGAATGATATATTGAGAGATTATATAACTAAACATAATTTAAAAGTATTAACATATCATTCCATCCCTCCGCCATGGAACGAAAATCAGCTCAAGACAACTTAGGAATCACATTCCATTCCTTTGTGGCAAACAAACAAGATTTTCTGATTCCATCGGAATGCATCATTCCATTCCATTCCCTCTTCGATTACTACATACATACCAATGTTTGGACCATCCCCATCCTTTGTGACCTGAAAGTGGCTATGGTTTTAACAAGATCCAAAGCAGACATGTCACCAATTAAAATTCTTTGAAGGGTGTTATGAATTGCACAATATGTTCCAGTTCTACCAATTCCTGCACTGTATAAGAAAGATATAAAAATTTATCAGATAAACAACTAATCAATCAAATTCAAAACATCTTTATAAAAATGAGATCAATTAACACCTGCAATGCACCACAATTGGTCCTTTTGATGAGGGTAGATTACGTAATCTTCTAAAAATGTCTCGAACTGCTGACGTGTCATCTGGAACTCCATGATCAGGCCATTCAGGATATTGAATATGCAAAACAGGTAAAGGAGGACCCTCAGACTGAACAAGGTAAAATGTACACTAATTAATTGTTTTGACAAAAAGACAAAAATACCCTCCTCTCTTTATCATTGAAAATAGCCCAAGTTTAGGTTTATATGAATTTCTCACCTCTTCATAATTCACCTCCATATGGCGTAACACTAGTGAGCTATCAGTTGTGGTTATTCTTCTGGTATTTGTACATATATTGCCAAACAATCTTAGACCATTTTCTGCTTGAAAATAGTCTCCACACTTCTGGATCTGGATACAAATGTCAATACTCAATACCCTGCTATTATTCTATTGGCTTTATCCATGTCATTTAGGACCTAATTCCTTTATTAACACCAATCTTACAGGGTAGATAACTATATATAACATGTGAAGTGAAGATGATTATAATTTATAATGCTGCTGGAGATGAGATGGAATTCAATACCCTGTGGTGGTCAACAAGGCGAGTGAGCATGACAATTGCTGGACAATGATTTTGGAGTACCATTTCCCAGAAATCTTCAAAAGTTTCAGGAAGAGGGCCTTGAGTGGCAATGAATCGAGATACATTTTCAGATGGATTAGCCTACAATCATAGATGGAAGTGTTCAATATTCATAAGGTTTCAATTTGGCTACTTGCACATATTAAAGTTTGATGATATAGGAGAAAATCATTTCACCTCTGCTGTGATAAGACTAGCATTGATGTATCCCATTGTTGATGACCTGTGATCTTTGCATGGATCAAGAACAACTCTGTTTGCATCAACTGAGACATAGGAGTTAAGTAAATCTCATGGTTAGCTTAGCTGCAGTTAAAGGTTAAAAAAAAGAGAGAGAGTTTGACAAGCATACATGGAACAACATCTGAGTAGCGATTTTTTCTAGAATTGACTTTTAGTTTAGCCACTGAGCAACTACTATTAACTTCTGAATATACCATCCTATGATCCTGTAAGAAAGAATAGGAATTATGATTAAACACTTGGGGTTTATGAGAAATTTACGTGATAATAGTGTAAGTAGCATGCTTGTAAATAGAGAAGATTCACAATGTCTCTAAACATATAACGAGGTTCTTTATGCATGATTTTTATTAGCTTTCATGTCCAAACAAGAGTATACATGCCATACATACGAGCTTTCCACCTGTTTTGATAGCTATTTATGCATTCGATCTAAATTACTATCAAAAGTTCCCAATGACTTACTGCTGACAGAATACCTATACCTGATAAAACTAAGGACCATATTCATTAAGGAAATACATAATAATTTGAAGCCATGGGGACATGCTGAAAGAATGTCTATAACATTACATAATAGTTTGAAGGACCTTATTCATTAATGGAGAAAATTGCATATTGTCTCCTTTCGCCATGGATAAATTTGTTAAATGTCAAGCTTACTTCTCCAAATACACAACTCACGAAGCATTACTGGAAAATTAACATCAACATTATATAACTTTGAGTGCTTGTCAAAGTTAATGGCATCCTTATTACGTTTTGTTTTGGTTCCAAGTCTGAATTTCTAAATAAGTCTAACTAATAGATCTTCTTCTTCCTATTTCTTGCAGCGAGCACCGAATATCATTTCATACATAATATACAGTCGTTTAGAGCTATAGCGACATGTTACGATGTAACATTGATCAAAAGTTATAGTTAATACGAAATTAAACAAACCGACAACACGCAGGTAAATTAAATCAAAATAGGGCTCATAAACGCATTTAACAACAAAACCTGCAAAATGGAGAACTCTTTCTCAATTACTGAACACTGATCAGTACGCTTTTCCTTGAAAATTTTGAGAGCTTGGACGCAGTAACGGAGTTGATCGGGTTTGAGTGACAGCTTGGGTGGAAATCCAGAGGACATATCGAACGAATCAGGAGGAGGAGCAGCAGTAGCAGAAGACGACGAGGAAGATGTTAGAGGTTTAGCACCGGCGGAGGCAGCCATGACCGATTTACGGCTCCGACTGCGAAAGGAAGTGATGTTGCCCGTGGTGGATGATGGCGGTGGTGAACGGTTGTATTCGGGCAAGCTTGACTTGTACCGTACGCTGCTGCCCCACCACAAGACACAAGTGATTTTATTGGATTGGCCGAAGCCAAAGGGAATTGGTCTTGGCTGATTTAAAGGGGAAGATGAACTTACTTTATTTATTTTAACAAATATTATATGTAAAGTTTCTTCAAATTTAATGAATTCTTTTGGTCTTTTAATATAAGGTCAAAAAGAATAAATGACAAACATATATAACAGATTAATGCACCATGTTACTTTAATTAATCATCTCAGTCTTTTAAAAGTAAGAAACACACACCTACTACATACACACGAACGTTAAACACATAGTAATACGACAATTGTTTCACCAATAATTGGATTCAAACAATCAGGAGCGGAGTATTTGGACCGGACCTGACCAACTTTTGGACCGGATCGATTTGGCAAAATATAGTGGACTTTGGACCGAACATGTTGAGACTTATCTAGTCCGGGTTTCCGGTTCTTATACCGACTGGTACAACTTTAAGTACATATAATACAACTCGTTAAAACGAATTTCCAGTTCTTGTATCCATTAGACTTGTCAAACTTTGATTGTTCATTTTAGATTAAAAGATATAATTTTTGTTTGATTGTTCGTTTTAGGTTAAAAAAATATTATTTGTACCATTTCTTTGAACTTGAATTAAATGAATTAACGACATTATCATATTTAACGAATCTAACTTTATCTATAATATTATAATTTTGCAAAATTAATTTTTCAAATAAAAGCAACTAACATATTAATCAAGTCCACCAACAAAACTTAACAATTTTAACACAGACACACAAAAGTAATTACCGTAACACCAAAAATTATAGTTTAAACTTTAAAATCAATCCAACTAACAAATGTTATAATCTAATCTTCCATTTTCCTCTTCCTTATATAAATCTAATATGATTAAAACTTGTGTAGTCCCTGCATAAACACAAAATGAAAATGTTGTTAGTATTAAATAAAAAGTAATATTTGTATCAAAATAGAACATTGATTGTAAATTTTTCAAATAAAAGCAACTAACATATAAATAAAGTCCACCAACAAAACTTAACAATTTTAACATAGACACACAAAAGTAATTACTGTAACACCAAAAATTATAGTTTAAACTTTAAAATCAATCAAACTGTAACACCATAAATTTTCAAACAAATTTTTCATTTTAAAATCACATAATTCTCATAACACATTTCACAAAAATCTCATTTATTTAATTTACAAAATGAAACTCCATAATTGTTTGATTAATAATCCAGGATCCTTAAAACATAACTCTTTCTCTGGTGTGTGTACAATCAATTCGACGCCTTCCCACGATCCTTAGAAGAACCTGAAACACGTATCACATAACACGGTAAGCACGAAGCTTAGTGAGTTCCCCAAAATACCACCCACATCACATTAGCCACTCGAGGCTAACACAATACGACCCTCCAGTTAATGTGTCTCAGTGGAGACCCTCCGGTCCCACAACTCGGGTGGACCCTCCGGTCCTAACTCAGTAAGCTCATAATAATAATACTCATCAATAATCACAAAGACATAATGCAGAATATCACAATATACAGGTAAGCACATAAGACACCTCGGTCACACAAAGATACCACTCATGGTAAGTATAGTGAGAAGACCCACCTCTGATGATGAACAACTCCTATAGATGTTGTTGCTGCACCGGCCTCTAACACTGGACCAAAATCCACAATTACCCAATTAAGATCTAAGCCTAAATCCTCACTCTTTAGGTCCAAAGGTAGCCACTAGCTAGCCCATCAATAACCTAAAACTCATTGGGCCCACCAAGGCCCAATAATGAATGGGCTCTCCCGAGGCCTAACTCTCAAGTCCAAGTGACAAGCCCAACACAAGGGCCCAAGGCACACACGCACACACACACACACACACACATATATATATATATATATATATATATATATATATATATATATATATAATATTTCTCTGCTCAAAATCTCTAGTACCCAAGCCCAAAGATCCAGGCCCAACCCTTAAAGCCCAATAATAGATTTAGCCCAAAAGCCCACAACAAGGTTACGCGGGGCGTACCTCCCTTGGTACGCTCAGCGTACACAAGCATGCACGAAATCTGATCGGGGACACCAACCCAGTACGCGGGGAGTACTAGGATTACGCTCGACGTACGTCCAGTATGGCTTTCCTAACTTTCTTGGTCTTAACCCGTTATGACCTTAGCTCATATCACAAATCTGGACTCCCTAATAGCTTTTACTCCATAAAGTCAGTGAATTTAAGCCTTTGCATGGCTGATAAGGTCACAAACACACAAAACTCTCATTCTCTTATCTCAAAATGCCCATATCTCATGCATGGCTTGATTCCAACGTCCAAGTCTTGATTTTTATGACACTACACCACTAAATACACTAAAAGGGGGTTGATCATAGTCTATGGAGCTCAAATATCTCATAAAGTCTCCAACTTTTGGGGACAAAACCTTAAAATACTCTACTATGATGCACAAATCAAAAGAGTGAGAAAGCTTGGAACTTTATACCTCTAGATGAAGCTCCTAACTCATATATGCTCAGATCCAAGGCCTGGACTCTTACTCCTTCTTCTCCAAAGCTCCTTCTTCACTCCAAGAACACACAAAATCACTTAAAGGCTCTCAAATGGACACACACAAGCTCAAGAACGAGGATTAGGGTTTTAGAGGGTTGATTGTCTGAGGATGATGTCCAGGAATGAGGCCATCTTATTCTTTATATAGGGACACCCCCTCATTTAGGGTTTTCACTCTGTGCCTAGCACGCCCAGCGTACTAGGTGGCTCCGCTTAAAAGTCACGCACATGAGTACGCTAAGCGTACACACACGTACGCCCAACGTACTCAGCTGCCACCTTTCTCAATTAAAGGACCTATCTTGCCAAAACTTCAAACTTCCATAGTTTCCTCGATATAACTTCGTTCCCAATGAACCTCATATCCACGGAAGGGTGACGAGATGCCCTACGCTTCTAGCAACTCGTCACAGCCCCGAGGCTTCCTCATGCCCGGGTTGTAACCCACGAACCCTAATCACGGACGATCTGAAACAGGATGTTACACCAACTAACAAACGTCATAATCTAATATTCCATTTTCCTCTTATATTTGTCATATAAATCTAATATGATTAAAGCTTGTGCAATCTCTGCATAAACACAAAATGAAAATGTTGTTAGTCTTAAATAAAAAGTAATATTTGTATCAAAAATAGAACAACGATTGTAAATTTTTTACCCAAAACTATATCATTATCCTTCAAGATGTCGTCAACGTTGTCTACTATCGGATTTGTAGACGTTCTCACCCAATATTAGGTGCATAACAAAGCTTTAACTATCAACGTCTTAAACTAGTCCGATACTCACTTACAACTCTACCACATGCGCCACACACGGGCTCGGACGCCACATTTGAGATTTGTATTGCCAATATGTCTAACAACAAAAGAATTAAATTGTAACGACATTAATTTATAAAGAAACTATGAAAAACTACAAAAAAGTAATCATCTTTCGTTATCCGAGCAACTGTTGGGAACTTAATCGCGTTTACTTTCCACCAACCGAGAATTGAAAAATGTTTTTTGATATTTCACTATATTCTCTTTCAAATAGGTTCGTAACTTGTTATCCATTGGATCCGAGATGCTACCTCCCATACTAAGAAAATCGCCGAAAAAATCATTATCATCATCACAACCAATGACTATTTGACTCACATCTTGTTAAGAAGACCCACCATTGTCAAATATTTCCAAGTAGGTCATAAATAAATTCTTCATTCTATTCGTAACCTCTCAGACCATTTGACGCGTTTTTATGTTTATGCCCGTCGGGGTTAATGCCGATTCCATATACCCGATCATTTTTTTAAATGCATGTAACACAAAAGGTGATTTGGTGGTAGGATCAAGCAAAACCGCAAAGTATATAAAATCGATCATCTTGTTGTAAGCACCCCAATACTTGTCGTATTTCGCCTTCACGCCCTTTACCATTTCGAGAAAGATTGGTTTGGTTGACCAATTTCTTAGATGTATGTCCACATAAGACTTCCCGGATAAAAAGATTTACCAAAGGTTTTATGTAGCCGAAATAATCTCAGTTTTTATCTTGATTTTTTCAAAGAACTCCACCATATCCATTATCACTTTGAAGTAAGAATTTTCTGGTACTCTACCAAGATCCATTTCATATGATTTATCTGCCAAAAGAACCTCGAGTTATCTTGGTAGAAATTTGATATCTTTATTTCCGTCTCAGGAAATAGTTTTTTTTTTCACAAGGAATTATGATGTCTTTCTACAGAATCGCGGGTCTTTTTTATTAGCTCCTATTTATGGTGCACAATTTCGTGGAATGTAGGTAGTGGTTATGATCGATTTGATAGAAAAGACGGAATCATGTGTATCTTTCGTTGGGGATTTCCTAGAAAAAATCGTCGGGTCTTCCTCCGATTTATTATAAAAGATATTCAGTCTGTCAGAATAGAAGTTTTGTGAAAGGTTCCTGTAAAAAATTTCATGAACGCTTAATTCATGTCGAGTAGACCTTGTTGTTGTGAGAATTCTTAATTCATGAGTTGTAGGGAGAGATTTATGTCACCACAAACAGAGACAAAAGTAAGTGTTAGATTCAAAGCTGGTGTTAAAGATTATAAATTGACTTATTATACTCCTGAGTATGAAACCAAGGATACTGATATTTTGGCAGCATTTCGAGTAACCGCTCAACCTGGAGTTCAAATATGTAACATCCCAATAATAGTGATAAAAATTTTCATTTTTAAAATCATCAAAACCATACATCAAGTGTCTCAAAACCACCATAATACAAATGTATCAAAAACATCAGAGTAAAAAGATCATCGATGGTGAAATCATAAAGGGATACTATGCGATCACTCCATGCCCTTTCCTTTCGAACCGGAAGTACCTGAAGATGTTAAACTACAAAACTGTAAGCACAAAGCTTAGTGAGTTCCCAAAAATACCACATACTATATAAATAGACCTAACCCAACATAAATAAATGAGCCCGACCCA